AAACAAGGTGAATATAAAATGCATTCCACAAGTACAATGATAGTTTAATAATGGACTATTGCCAGGCATCTGGCCCGGACTGTGCGGCTACCTTGCGGTAACCTGGCAGTGGGCACTGGCAAGGTCAGTTATCTGGTTAGCCTTTGTCCTGCCTGATAACCGTGCCAAGGTTCCCGCCGATTGTGTAACTGCGCGCAGTTGCAAATCTTGCGGCACGTCTACGACGTGCCCTACAGCTCAACGCCAGTTTCAATTTGTATGTGAATTTCAGAATTACAAACCACTACCAAACATTCTCAAATGCTTTAAATGTCCTTCTAGCGTTCTCACACATTGTTTTGAGTCTTTCAAAATAAGTCTTCCATTTTTTTCCTCTCATTTACAACTTTTATTTTTATTTGGTGGGACTTTGGCTTCGGTTAAGCGTGAATCTGGCGTTGAGCTGAATCTGTCGTTGAGCTGTAGGGCACTCTGTAGAAGAGAGTGCCCAAGGTTGTAGCCCGCCACAACCTTGGCACGGTTACCCCCCTTCAACTACTTCCCTTCTGTTTTATACCACCAGTACGGTAGGTGAATAGAAATATAAAAAAACTCTTCCTTAGGGCAAACGTAGTGACATGCTGCAAATTCTCCTAAGCTTAGACCTGAGCTCACTATATTCGCAGTAGTATAGCGTTCCAGGCCTATAGGTCCACTTCCAATGCAGATTATCCGGAGGTGATTACAAAGCCAATGAACACGTATGTTCGAGTAGTCGCTATAGATAAGCACCACCCCTTTTGCTGGCGTAGAAAAAGAAGGGGTTCTGAACACCTACAAAAAGGCATCATATCTCTATCGCCTGGCTCTTCGACTGTTAGAACTTCTAGAGAGAACTTCAAGAGAAATTCTACGACTATGTTCAATGCAGGTGATGCCACCGCAAGTCCGGCCTGCCCCCAATCCTTATCTCTTCTCCTGATGCAATTTGCTACTATGGGCGCGGCACGAGTAGACTGGGGTATGGTAGGAACTGAGCACATTGGAAACATTGTTATGGTTGGGGGGACCACGCTAGTTTTTCACGGATCGGACATTATTACACACATTGCTAATCTCGCCCTGACGGGAGATTCGTTGGAAAATTTCCGGAGTCTGGCCTAGAATGATGGCTATTTTTTAGGGATGATAGTTGGTACCTGGGAGTACAACTCCTCTTAGTTCATCCTCATCGTGGATTTTCTCAACAAGGTGGGGGACGGGGGACATACACATGAGTACACGGCGTATTCCTCCACTGGCAGGACCTCCACCAGTGCGCCAATTTCTACACCAGCTTCAGTCCAACAACCGCCCTAGCTCGGCGCACCGAAACCGCCCCCGAAAACGCCGGCCTCAAAGCGATAGATCAGGATGACGAAACAATCATTCTGGAGTTGGACGAGCAGCGATGATGACCACAAGTAAGAGGAAATCTAGAGAAGGGGAGGAAAGGTGGCTGTGGATTATTAGCTTTGGGTATATAGGATAAGCAGAGGGTGGCTACCTATACAGCTACGAAATGTCCAAAGTAATTTGTGATGTACTCGTCCTGTCCTGGCGTTTGTGAACACGACCGGGCCTGCATTAGTGCCAATAAGAGTGCATTAGTGCACCCTCTGGACAGCAACCAATCAGAAGCAAATAGATACCTTAGTCAGAAATGATAATATATGACGTTCTTGCTCGTAGATGTAGAAGTATAATGTACCTCCCAACTTCATTCTTTCAATATAGTCCAAAAATGCCAGCAACACGCGGTCCGACAACATCTTTGAGCAAGCGAGGTCAGGTCCTGGGATATTCAATGCTGGATGGACCTCACAAAATGACATTAGCTCAAATATTAGAGATGACTGGGGTCCTGAAGAGTACCTGCTCTAATATCATTAGAACAGCCAAACAGCGAGCGAGTGAAAATGGCATTTCTGACCTGTGTGCTCCCGAAAATCTTATTCCTTTACCCAATTCCATCAAGGGTTCCAATCAGGTCCTGACAGATGCTCAAAAGAGTCATCTGGTTGAAACTGCATTAAAAGATGCAGAACATTGTCGAATGACGTTCTCACAACTTGCAGAAGCTGGTAATATTTCTTTTTTTTTTTAAATTACATATTATTTGCTAATAAATAAATGTACATAAAAGCAAATTTAAATGTTAGCCGACAAACTGTATCCCGCGTCCTTGCAGCCAATAAAATCTTTCGCCGAAAGCCAACTACGAAGCCTGCCCTCAGCCCAGCCCAGAAAGCCGCACGTCTTAACTTCTGCAATGGTTATCGAAACCTAGATTGGAAATCAGTCATTTTTACTGATGAGTCCTACTTTGAAACGGGAAACTTACGTCGCCGCCGTGCTCGTGGAGTTTTAAGGCGTGCCGGTGAGGCTTATAAGCCTCAAAATCTCCAAAGAAAGTTTGCACAGGGAGCAACTGTGATGTTTTGGGGAGCAATTTTGTATGGTAAATCAGGTAATTCTATTGATTATTTTCTATTGTTATTAGTATTATTTTTTTATTATTATTTATATTTTCTTTATTATTAATATTATTATTTTAATGTACATAATTGCTAATATAATATATTTTAAAAGGAAATGAACTTCCATACCATATGTACACTTCACCTTATGAAACTACAAATCAGCAAAAGGAGGCATTAGTAGTTCTGCAGAGAGAGTATGAAGTAGAAGTAGAAGAAAATACTCGGGCAGAAGCAGGGGGGTTTCCAGTCCCGTTCCCAGATCCTGTACTCAAGGTTCGAAAACTTGATCGCCGTGGGGGGATAGATTGGTATATCTATCGGGAACGGATTTTATCCCCCCTTCTTTATCCTTTTACACAGGAGGCCATAGAGCAATTTCCCAATAGGAATATTATAATAATGGAGGATAATGCTCCAGCACATATCCACCATTATCATAATATTCCTAGGGAAAGGTTAGGATATCGGAAGTTAGTTTGGCCAGCTAACTCTCCGGACTTAAATCCAATTGAAACAATTTGGACTGAGTTAAAGGATAAGTTACGTGATAAAATCAGTCATCGAATGTCAGTTCGTGAGATCCGCCGGGTTCTTGAACAGGTATGTATTATTATATTATTATAAATATACTATTAATTTAACTTCTAATACAAGAAATTCTACTAGGAATGGAAGAATTATCCTGTGGAGCGAATCAATCACCATATTGAATCAATGTCCGCCCGCATTGAAGCTTGTATTACTGATAATGGTGGCAACAACTTTAATTTCTAAATCCTGTATTCATCTTTTCTTTCCTTTCCTGTTGTTTCTTTCTTCATTTATTATTTTTTTATATTTTTTTTTTATAAACTACAATTTCTTGCTTTCACCGCCTGTGTTATTTTATTATTCTTCAATATAATTTTAGTTTGCTTACCCAATCAAAATGCCCCTGATACATGCTAATGCACCTCTGTGCACGCTAATGCAGGGCTGGTTGTGTTCACAAACGCCAGGACAGGACGAGTAGGGGATTGGTAATGGGCAAGCCGGTTGGCGGAGGCATTACCAGACCGTGGATTATTCTGCGGGATAATTGTTTTTCCGCAACAACCTGAGAGCCAACGGTATACCTATGTTGTCATGGCGTTTTCGGAATCTGGTAACTATAGGCAGTGCTCCGGAACTAGTTGAAATGGTACAAAATTAGATTGCTAACATCATTCTTAAAAAGGAAATCGAGTGAAATAATGACGGTGGTTTGTGTGGGGATAATCGGAGTAGTGGCAATTGAGGTAAGAATTCTGATCTGAGTCACGATGAGGTTTATCGATGCTGACGGTATGAGTAGCTATAGGGGGTTTATAAACACCAGTGGTCCAGAAGAGGCCACTTCACAAAAGACTTTGTAGACTCGATTGTACCTCCGTATTTAGACTTTTAGAAGTTCAATTGCACAAATCAGGTAGGACTCATCGGTGCCATGGCTACCACAATTCTTGTTGAAGAAAACTCCATCTCATGAAGATTAGTACTAACAGGCTCTAGTAATAGGAAAGACTGAAGCACGGGGCAGCAACGAGGACCTACCACCTCTCTATCCAAGTGGGAGCAAATAGTGGCTCTTGCAAATTTGTCAGGAAGCATGCGGTTATGGCTCCATGAAGTTGCAGCTTTAGCAAATGTGCCTCTCTCAACCTGCTCAGATATCGTTCGGCTCTCAATACTATGCATCCTCCAGACTCACATTCCTGATCCATGCTCTGAAGAAAATCTGTGTCCAGCTCCCACCTCCCTGAAAGGTCATAATAAACTTGAAGCTTTAAATGTTGAGGAAAAGCAGCATATTATTGCACTCGTACTTCAGGATGCCACACATTGCAAAAAGTCTCTTGAAGAACTTATTACGGAGTCAAGGTTGTCTATTTGCAAGAACACTCTATCGAATATCCTCGCCGCTGATGGAATCCACTATTGTCGGCCTACCAGAAAACTTTTCTGACTGCTAAGGCTAAGGCTGCAAGACTGGAGTGGGTATTGAAGTATCAAAACTTCAATTTTGCCAATGTTCTATTCACTAATGAGTCACATTTCAAAGCAAGTACTTTGCGCTCCTCTCGGGCAAAAGGAGTTTTGAGGCAGGCAGAGGAAAAATACTTGCCTCAGAACCTTGATAGAAGATTTCCAAAAGGGTCAACAGCCATGTTTTGGGGTGGAATCCTGTCTGGTTATGATGGCTCCCAGCTGCCTTACCACTTTTTTCCATCACCAGTCGAGACTCAAGCCTAATGGCATGCATCAATCGTCCGTCTACAGCAAGAGTTTCAGAGTGATAGTGATGACTACCACTACTTTACTGGGCTGGGTGAACCTCATACTGTTCCCGTTCACAAAACTTGCAGTGCAAAAAGAAAAGTTGGGGTGGACTCCTGTGTTTGCGGAGAGCAGGTTCTTCGTCCAAGAGTCTTTTCTTTCCTCTTTGAACAGATGACTCTATGTCAGGAACTTCTCTACTTCATTGAAGATGGTACTCCATCTCATACAAAGGACTACAATGTTGCTGAAGTATTTGACTGTGGCTTTGAAAGAATTATCCTTCCCCCTTGCTCCCCAGATTTGAACCCAATAGAAGAGGTCTAGCGCTACATTAAGGATATTGTCAAGAGAAAAATAGGTTGGAACTATCGGGATCCTGCAATAGAAGAGATTGTGGTACAAGAGTGGAAAGGCCTCTCGTCAGACTATATTAATGGACTGATTGCTTCTATGCCACACTGAATCGCTGCTGTCCTAGAAGCTCAGGGTGGAACTGAATTTCGTGGGTAGCAGGAAATGGTCGGATTCAGGTATGTATCCCTACTATTCTGAGTACTTCCTGTGACACTTCCTTGAAGCTGAAAACTAAGTGGAATAGAATGACAACTAGCTGAGAGATGATATGGGTAGAGGAATGATGGTAGGGGGGGGGCAAAGTTTTTAAGAGAGGAAGGCTTGGGATTAGAATAAGATGAGGAGCAGGCAGAATTGAATCCGAGTCTACAGCAAGCACAGAGTCAAATTTAGAGAAAATAGGATGAATGAGTACTAAGTACCTTTTCTGGCGGGGGCTGCTTGTTATTTTTCTTATTTTTCACTACCATTTTCTTCTAAAATAAAAACCATTAGCATTCTGAGTTGCCCTCTGGCGGAGGTGGAGCTCATAGCTAAAAGTAGAAAAGTCGGTAGCTACTCTTTGTACCTTTTTGGAAGTCTCTCCTGGGACTGGCGTACCTATTAGCGCTCAATTCCGAATACACGATGACACTACAAGTAGTATAACATAATGGTCTACCGGCACGGAAGCAACCTCGGTGCATCAAACATCAAGCACTCTACCTGCCCCACAATCCTCACACACCAACAAAACAAAGTAAGGAATGTCGACACCCAAAATAGCCTGCATCGCCCGAATCGGCTACACCGGATCCTCTCAGCCCCCATCCCATCCTCTCCCATCCCGTCCTATCCGTCCCCTAGCTAACGAACCCTTGAAACCCGAAAAAATAAAAGATAAAGTACAGAACTCACACCTCCACCTCCATACCTCCACACCTTCCCTCAATCCCCCAAATACTCCCCATCGACGCTAAAATCCCACTTCCTCATGTATACCTACTAGACTTCTTCCGGTCCCGCTTACCGCTCTAGTCCCACGGCGACAGCAACTTTGGCCCTTCAGACATGTAGTTAGGAGATGTGCGGCTATAGTGTATGAGGTTTTGTGGTGCGCAGCGCGGCCTAGGGAGGCAGTTTTGCCGTTTCCATCGTCACCACCCTGTTGGTCGATATGGGGCACAGGTTTTTGGTTTCGATTGGTAAGTTACTTCACTTGGTTTGAGGCATCACAGATGTTTATCAAGAATCTGGGGAGTTCTAGGTAGTTCGAGGATCACGGGATCATGATTCGTTAGGATGGCATATGGTTTTCAGGGTTCGTGGGGTTTATTTGGTTAGCAGTTTGGAGATATATACCACCCGGTCTCTCATTGGATAGCATCTCTAATGATTGCCCAGCTCACCGCCCCCCCCCCCCCCCCATACCTATTATTATGAAGTGCTGATCGGAGTGGAGGTATGATGCTAAAGAGGGAGAAACGAATGTATATTTTGTATCGTAGTTGAAGTCCTGCTTATATTCTGAATCCCCCGGCACTGTGATAGCTTAAATAGAAAATACAAAACTGCTCTATCTATACCAAAGACAACACAACTTTATCACACTCCCGGTATCCAATACCTGGCCTTCCTAACTCAGCGTACACATCCGGAAGAAACTCCATTACCGAGTTCCGAGGTTTTCCGAGGTTCCCGAGGTTCCTTCATCTGCCTGCAGATTCTAAAGGCCGAGAACAGACCGAGGGCTAAGAAGCAATGCCGGTGGATGATCTTTCCACAATCCCTAGCGTCTAACATTATGAAACACAAAAGAAACAAAACTGCAAATAAGCTAAGGATATAACAAAGAAATATTTTGACCCGAGGGCTTCCAGCCGTCCATGTGAGTACCGGTGATTTTTCAACAATACCACGGTGCACTCCAAGTCTATCGTGACTGCACCTTCACTGCTTCATCCTTTTTTCCTGCGTTTCTTGAGGCTTTATTAGGATTTTCACTCTCGACTTTGTATCCTGCCATGATCACAGCTACTGAGCTTAAATTATTATGGCCACAGGGTAGATAATATAACAAGTGATGGTCTATTGGACTAGTGGCACTTTTCTAAGATAGGAACTGTGGACTCTGATAACGGGAAACTGGATCTCGGAAGGCTGTTGAATGCCTGGCGGTTTCGCGTTGTGGCGCAGGATCAGAGGAAGACCTCACCGCATAAACTATGAGGGGTATACAGGACTAGCAGAGCGAATCTTAGATGACCTATATTTTGCAGAGCCTTCCTCCACCGGTTGTGGAGTAGCTTCCAAGTAAAGTGATGAAACCATGGACTGAAATCTTGAATGAGAGGGAATGGGATAATGGCATTTAAGGGGGAAAATGCCGGGCGTGTGGACGAAGTTATGCGGAAAAAAGCAGGCGTAGAAGGGACCGTGAACCACAGCAGGGATCAAGTTAGGTGGGGCTAGTTGGGTGGATGCTCCATTTGCAGTACAGTGTTCGTGGGCCATTTAGAGTGTGTGAATGGGAGTTAGCCTATTAAGCGTCTTTTGCTGGGGGAAAATTATGGGGCATGCGAAGGCCCGCCAGATGGCGGGCAAGCTGGTTGAAGACCGGACATGGGAGTGGGGGTCAATAGCAGTAGAAACCTGCAGAACACATGTTTTCCATACGCGCCAATCTAGCAACAAGGCATGACAAAGGTTCAGTGAATCTCTGTGGGCGGAGAGCTTACCCGCGAGATTCGTGTAGTTAAATGTAGGGTTATAGTAATTTTTTTATGCAATCAAAAAATCTGAGTCCTAAAGGGAATGTGCAGACCCAGGCTAAGACTGCCGATCCCCATGTCTCGGGGGGGGGTAGCAAGTTTATATTGTTGCCGAATTCGAATAAAGCCTCTATTGGGTGTGGATCTCACGCTAAAATTCGTAGAGGTCGAGATGGGCTACAGTGGCCCGAATGGATTCGAGTGGCAGATGGCCTCGGTTAAGACACGGCTACCCGGTCGGGTATTGTCACCCGTCGGGCTCCTTTTGAGATGGAAAGTGCATGTTGCACAGTTCTGACTGCGGGGGAAAAATTTGGTAAGCGACAAGAGTGCCTGTCAAGCCGTTTCAGAAACGTGGCGAGTGATGCTTTCTTGGGGAGTTTGAAGTGGCTGACTGGGAGAAATTAGGAACACAGCCTTATCCTGCGAGACGATTTTCTCACATTCGCGATTCTCACCACCTTGAAGCACCGTATCCACCCTTTTCCCATAACTCCGCTGGCCAGACTGCAGAAAGTATGGACCATAGCATGAATACCAAGTCATTCAATGTCAACAGCTTCAACAACTTCGTACACACGACAATAGCGGATGACAAGCCACAGGTCCTGCGGTGGTTATCGCCACTCGAGCCTCAGAATAGACACCAGCATTTAAGGGAGAACCGACTCAGGGGCGTGGGACAATGGATCTTTCAAACGGACGAGTTTCGGAGATGGGATGCGGGAGAAGATGGATCCAGTCACTCTGTTCTGTTTTGCCATGGTGATCCGGGTGTGGGAAAGACTCATCTCAGGTAACGCGGGAAATCAAGGGGGTGAAGCCCACGTCGCTAATTACTTTAAATTTTAGCTCTCTAGTAATCGACCATTTTTACAGCGGTAGACCAGATACCGCAGTCGCCGGGCTGTATTGCGACTACCTCGACAGAACAGAACAGACTGTACCGAACATGTTAGGAGCTATGCTCAAGCAATTGGTTGGAAGTGGAAACATCCCAGAGGAAGTAAGCAAAGTCTTCCATCGTGCGAAGGCGCATTTTGGTGGGGTAGGCTTGGAAGTTCCAGAACTTCTTAACATGCTGAAGAGGGCAATCTCGAAACGGCGGTTGGTGGTTATATGCATTGACGGCTTGGATGAATCTCTGGCGGCGCATAGGAATGGCCTTCTCCAGTCTCTGCAAGATATCGTTCGCGACCTGTCAAATGTCCGGTTATTCTTAACCGGCAGGCCTTTCATCTGCAGTGAGGTTGAGAGGTACTTCCCCGGCGTGGATACTATCTCGGTTAGTCCGACGAAGGAAGACACCGAGACATTGTTGAAGATGAAATTAGACGGGGACATGGAATCTGACGCTATGGATGAGCATCTAAGAGCGGATATAATGGAAACCATCCCGAAAACAATATCCGAGATGTATGTCTAGATGCCTAGTTTGTCCATCTTGAGCGGACTGGGGGTTACTGACAAAGGATTTTGTATAGATTTCTTCTTGTGTCTCTCAGTATCGAGGCAATTCTCGCGGAGACAACGATCTACCGCAGGAGGCAAAAGCTTAAGCAGGTGTCGAGTGGTCATGATGTAGGGGACGTATACTCTGCCACTTTGGAGAGAATCAGAGCACAGAAGAGAGACAGGTCGCGACTAGGGATGGAGGCAATCATGTGGGTAGCGCATTCGGAGAGGCCATTGAAGCCAGACGAGCTATGTCACGCCTTAGGGGTAGAGCTAGGGTCGAATGATCTGAACAGTGACAACATCCCTTCAATACGGACCATCTTGAACTGTGGGCTAGGATTGGTCACTGTCGATTCATCATCCTCAAGTGTCCGTCTTGTACACTTCACTCTACAGGAGTATATTCTAGCCAATCCTACACTCTTCTGCAGTCCCCATTCAGCAATTGCTGAGGTTTGCTTGACCTACCTCAACTTTGAGCGCATCAGGAGCCTTTCGCCTGCTCTCCGTTTACCCCCTCCAGAAACCCCTTTTCTGGAATACGCTTCGTGTTTCTGGGGAATACATACTGGAAAAGATACTACCAAAAGTGGAATATCGCTCGCGCTAAGCCTACTTGGTCGATTCGATGCCCACATCTCCTGCAAGCCCCTCTTGCCGAGATATGAGTCGGAGGGTCCCTTCGATATTGAAGGTAGCCCGATCGGATTCACTGCGCTACACGGTGCAGCGGCTGTCGGAGTTATGGAGATTCTGGTTTCCCTATTTAAAATTAAGAAATGGGATATTAACGCAACTGACTTTCTTGGTGAGACGGCATTGATGTTAGCCGCTATGCGAGGACATGATGAAGTAGTCAAGGTGTTGCTAGGACAGGAGGGTATGAACCCCGAC